TTACCTTTTTTTTTTTGGAGACAGAGTCTTGCTATGTAACCCAGGCTGGCCTTGAACTCACAGTGATCTTCCTCCTTCAGCCTCCTGAGTGCTGGGATTACAGGTGTGCACCACAATGCCCATCTATAACTTTTTAATGTTATCTCTTAACAGTGAACATCAGTATTATCTCTCAATTTTCACTTTTACAAACAATGCTGTTATTACTATTTCTATAGGACAAATTCATTTAAGTAGAACTCACGATCCTTTTTGTTTTTAACAGATTTTATTAAGTTACCTCTAAAAAATAATAAACCAATTTACCTCATCAACAGAATATTATAGAGTACCTGTACCTCTCTATCTCTATATTCTTTCTTAGAGTACTATATTTAACAAGTTAAAAAACAAAGAACCTTTCCAGCTACATTTTCTTTTCTTTTTTGGTACTGTGGATTGAACTCGGGTCCTTGCGCTTGCGCAGCCGGCGGCGAAACCACTGAGCTAAATCCCTGGCCCTCCTGCTACATTTTCTATTCTAGCCATTTTTAATACATAAGCCTTAAAATCTTACTCTTTGTCCTGAAATTTGACTACCGCCATGACTTATCTGATCATATAATTACTATTATTATTCAACTGCTTATCCACTAAATCCTTTTGTACTCCTAGAGGAAAACAGTCCACCTGCCTGTTAGTCTCTGCCATAGTAGCAAATTACAGTTTTTAAAAGTAGAGTCTAAATATGAAAAAATGAAAATTTTTAGAGTTAAGAACAATAACAGTTTCTCTCCAAATGACTAAAAGAAAGGATGAACTAAAAACATCAGTAAGGGCCAGGGATTTAGCTCAGTGGTTCTGCCACCTGCCTCGAAAGTGCAAGGTCCCGAGTTTGATCCCCAGTACCCAAAAAATAAAAAATAAAAAATAAACAAACAGTGAAGTCTCTGGGAAACTACTGAATGGCCAAAACACAACCCAGGAGAGTACTGGTCCAAACACTATAGAGAGTGTGCTCTGAACAACTGAGCACTGCTGGTGCAAGGGCTGGTTAGTGGTTAACCGGTGTCTTCTAGCTGATTTCCACAGACCTTTTCGAGGGACTTGTGGAAGAAGGCTTGGGTATTTTTCAAGTGATTGAAAACAAAGTAACATTTCACTGAGTTCTGCCGGTATCTGCCGTCATCACAGAACTGCCAGGCCAGCCAGGTGTGGTGGTACATGCCTGTGATGGCAGCACTCTGGAAGCCAAGGCAGGAGGACTGTTGTGAGTTCAAGGCCAGGCTGAACTACATAGCAAGACCTTGTCTTAAAAAAAAAAATCATTCTTTATGGCTGAGTAATATTCCATTTTATTTTAAAATATCACATCTTTATCTAGTCTCCAGTTGATGGGCATTTGGGCTGTTTCCAAGATTCAGCTACTACACACTGCCACAATGAACATGGGTACACATATATCACTGTGGTATGATGCTTTTAATTCTTTTGGGAAGACACCCAGCAGGGGGATAGTTCTGTCAAATGGGACTTCTAATCCTAGTTTTTTGAGAAATCTCCACACTGATTTCCACAGTGGCTGCACCAGTCTACACCCCTACCAACAGTTGGGAAGGTTCCTTTTTCCCCCACAATCCCACCAGCATTTGTTACTAGCTGATTTCTTAACAGCAGCCATTCTTCCTGGAGTGAGGCGGAAT